AGAAGAGATCAAGGCCGGGTCAATGGGAGAGGGGTCAAGGGAGTGCACTGCCACTATACTGTAAGGGAATAGTGGTCTGTCCATATCACGAAAATTAGGTGAGGTCGGTGTCTTGGAGGGCTGGACGAGTCCAAGCTCTATGGTGAGGTCCAGAGGGATGAAGGACAATGCTAAGAAAGGTGGGGAGGACGGGGCAATAGAAGGTGGGGAAGAGACCAAGATAAAGAAAGACAATGCTCAGGGGTTAAAGAGGAGGAGGGTGGGTGTGGGTTTGAGAGGATGGGCTCCAGGTACTAGTCCACTGTAAGGGGGAGTAGAGGCTGAGGGCTAGAAGTTGGTGTCGGAGGAAGGGGGAAAGGCAAGGCATTCGAAGAGTTGATAAAAGAGGGTATGGGAGAGGGGGAGTGGGGGTACGGAAGAGGGAGGAGTATGAGAGATGCACTCGAGGATTTAAGATCTCGAGGCAGGGGAAGGGGCGAGGTGTCATCGCAGTGGAGAGAAGAGTATACAGGTGGCTCATCCGAAGACGGCGAGGGAGGGGTGTTGCACACCCACTCTCTTCATCTCAATAATCAATCCCCCCCAAAAAAAAGTTCAATTTAAGGTCAAAATGAGTCCCCTCCAAAAACGAATCTAGACCATTCATTTTGTGAATTTCAAGATCATAGCCTTTATAAACTCAAAATCATTTTTTTCTTTTTTAACATTGTTCATCTAATGATAATAAAGCCATCCAAAAAAATTGGAAATGAAAAATCCTTTTAAAGCCTAGATCTAAGCATCTCACCAAAACGAACGGCCATTGTTAATTGGGCTAAAAAAATATTTTCTAGGTTGTGTTTTCAAGTTTTTCTTTTTTTGTGATTGCATTAGAATGAAAAGATTGTATATTTCAAAATTTGGATCAAACAAATGGCCATAAGATGGTTTTTTAAGGTTTGTGCATCATATTACTATACAACGGTGGCATGAAATTATTGCTCATATATATATATATATATATATATATATATGTATATATATATGGGTCTGGTTTATATAAGGCTGTGGGCCTAAACAATCAAATTAAGGTGCACCTTCAAATAGTGCCAGACATGTTGTTTTAGTATCAGAAATCTGTGATGGACTGAAAATCTATTTACATCTCTAACTATAAAATTTAAATATTAAAAAATAGTGTAATTCAAACTGATCTATGACCACTTGAAAATCTTGAAAATTGATGGTCTAGATAATGCATTACAAGATGGCCGTATTCCCAAGACTTGAAATCTGTTTTTTCTCTCGTCTAATTCATCTTGAGTTCGACATGATCGCATTGAGGCTTTTTCAGCATTGAAACAACCTCTTTTAGTGATTTTTTGATGTGTGCCTTAATTTGATTGTTTAGAGTCTCAGCCATATATAAATGTTTTCAATATACATATATATATAAATAGAGATATGCTCCTATAGGACCCTCTCCTACCCATGTGTGTAGGACCCCAAAGGATCACCATTAAATTTGGCACGGATCTATAGAAAAGTGAAGTCCCACACCTATGTGATAACTTTTCTAGAGATCTGTGCCAACTTTAATGGTGATCCTTTGGGGTCCTACACACATGGGGGGGGGAGGGTCATATAGGATCATTACTCATATAAATATATCAAGAAAGTTTCTATTCTCCAAACATATATAAATATGTATGCATATGCATATCAGCACATACATGTTTGTATCTATGCATATATGTGTATGATTCTTCCAAATTTATGTATACATGTTTGCCAAACTCATTTATACCCATGTGGCATGCTGCCTTCTATTTTGGGAAATGAATAGTTCCTTGGTGTTACCAAACTGTCTTTTTCTTTTTTATATTTCTGAGAGCCCTATGTATCAATATAGAAAATATCCATTAACCATCTATGTTCCACCTGGGCTTTATTTGGATGATTGTGTGTGTGTTTTTTTTTTTTAAATTCGTATGATATGCATGTATAAAATATGCAGAATTCCCATGAGGCTTGAGTTTGAGGCATCCCAGAAATAGGCTCCTTGTACAAAACGAATGAAAACAAAAAACAAGAACAAACCAAAAGAGGTTTGGCCACCCATACATCAAGCGCTTGAAACCAAAAGAGAAAAAAAATCATGTGTGGAGTAGCCCACAGACCAGGTGCTCAGCACACACTGGATGTCAACCTACAAGCCAGGTGCTCACCCAAGTATCAAAAGACTGGTCTGCAACCACTAGGTAACAGTGGGAAGAGGGAAGGATGAAGAAAGGAACAAAGGAAAGAAAAAGCAGGAAGTAAAGATGGATATGGGGGGAAAGAAGCAGTGATAGAGAGGAGGGAAAGAGGTTGGAAAAAGAGAGGGTGAGAAATGAAATTTGAGAGAGGAGAGGTAGAGAGGAAGAAGTAGAGCAAGAAGTGGACAGGGAGTGATAGAGAAAGAAAATATTGGAAAATGTTTAGGAGATAGCGAAGGATAGAAGAAGGGGTTGGTGTTGGGAGGGAGAGATAGAAATTGTTGACGGGCAGAGAGAGAGAGAGAGAGAGAGAGAGAGAGAGAGAGAAGCAAAACATACAAAAAGACATAGGTCAACACACTAAATACTAAGGCTTCATTGAAGTGGCGGGACAATACTAGCCCCAATGCCATCGTTAACTAGGGCACCTGTCACCGTATAAGTCTCCCTCCAGATATGGCAAAAGCTGACTTGTAGAGACTTGCAAGTGTAGAAAATCCTGTTAAAGGTATGAGAGGGCTGCCAAGGGTATATGGACGTCTTTTGAGCCCATGAAATAACATCCTTGGAGTCTTCTTCCATAATAAGGTTCGAGTCCCAAGAAGGGTCAAACCTTGAGAGACCTTCCAAAAGTGCTTGAGCCTCGGCCTATGTAGATTCACCATGCACGAAGGGCCACTAAAAGACAATAACATGTTAGCTTCTGACTCTCTGAAGATACTCCCAAAGCCACAGGGGCCAGGTTTACCCAATGAGCAAACATCAAAGTTGAGTTTGATGTTGTCTCGGCTCAGAAGAGACCACAAGGACGATCAAGACTGCCCGGTCAGTCTGTAGTTGAGAATTGAGAATGTCCTTCTAGTTGGTTATAAAATCAGACCTAGGGAAGTGCTTGAGAAGCTTATGGTTGGATGCCCAAAAAATAGTTGTGCTGTGGATTTGGTCCAAGAATAAGAAACAGGTGTGTGTACCTTGGAAGGTCCCAGATTTTCTCTTATTTCCAAATGTTCCATAGAGTGAAAGAACCATGCTTGGTGTATGGAGGACTGAAAAAATGTGAAGAAGGGTGTTCTTAGAATTGGGAGTAACCCACTTCCAGTTGAAGTCCTTAAGATAGAAGCCCAAATAGTTTCTGTGAATGGGCAGTGCAAAAAAAGATGACTGTGGGATTCCTTAACCTCCAAACAAAGGAAACAACAGTTTGTGAGAAGGTAATTTCTCTTTTGGAGTTGATCAATGGTAAAGTTTTGGTTTGAATAGTAAGGCATAAAAAAAAAAGCCTGGATTCTTGGAGGCATGGGAGTAATCCAAACAAAGTTGAGGGTGGAACTATTGGCAGAGTTGGTTGTGAGGGCTTTATAGAAGGAGCTAACAGTGAAGGTTCCTGAAGGGAAGAGATCCAAATGACCTTGTCAGGTGCGGAGATATCAGTGTAAAAATAAAAAAGGAGATTGTTGGGAACTAACAAAGCAGTGGTTTCGGTATCTTTGGGGGGCTTTCGAAAGGTTGGGTTCCACAAAAGAGGTCGGTACGAGGGTTTGGAGACTTGGGCGACCTAGGCTTCAGGCAAGTTGGAGATGGAAAAAAGCCAAGGCCACTTGTCGTTAAGGGGACAGCCCCCAATCCAGGGTCAGACCAAAAGAAGACTTTTATTGCCGCAGTTAACCTTGAACCTAGGATATAAGAAGGAAAGAATTGGAGCGAGGGACATATACTTCTATAGAAGCCCGAGGACCTAGAAGTGACTCTCCTCTTGGGGAAACTAGGAGAGAGAACAGGTAACATATTTCATAACAACATTTCTCCATAGAGAGCCTGGATTGGTAGCATAGCGCCACCACCACCCCCTCAGAAGGGCGAGATTCATGTGTCTGACTCTAGGTTTCATATACCAGTCCACCTTGGTGTTTCGAGGTACATACCTGGTCCCATACCACATGATGGATCTTCTTATGATGCTTGTTTCATAATCCTTTCCGAAGAATCGACAACACTATTGGGCATAAAGAAGAGGGACATCTAGTAAATGGGTAAATTGGAGAGGGTTGCCTTAATAAGCGCAATGTGACCGCGAGGGGATGTGTCTTCAAGGTCTCATGTACCTCACAAGAAAGTTTGTGTCCTCCAACCGTATATGAATATGTGGTCATGTATATGCATATATGCTTCTTCCAAATTTACATATGCATATACATGTTTGTACATATGTTTCTTCCAAATTTATATATACGTGTCTATTAAACATATGTATACACAAGTAGCATGCTGCCTACTATATCGGGTAATGAGTAGTTCCCGGGGTTTTATTTTTCCATTGGTGCTTCTTACAATGCACTTGATTCATTCTTCAAGACTCTTATCTCTCTTCTACCCCCCCCCCCCAAAAAAAAAAAAAAAAAAAAAACGCGCACATACACATACCTTGCTTATTTCTATGCGGCTTAATGACTAAAACTCGATCTGTAATGAAACTGGAAATGTGTCGGATTTTTGACACTGGATAAAATGTAGAATGTCTGTTTTGAATGTTAATTTCGCAAGTGAAGGCTCAGTTATTTTCCTGCATTTGTTTGTAGCACCATGAGATAGTCAAATGCATCGTTCGTTTTTTTGGCTGCTAGATACATGTGTTCTGTCTTGTTTATTTTCATTCTCATACTTCTCTTTTGGATTATCAGGACTCATTGTTTTTGTGCGATTAATGCTTAAACTAGTTTTCATGGTTTTTGAATTTCTAATTTGATGTGGTTTATTTGTGCACAGGTCAAGTTAGATGAGGATGAGAGCTCCAGTTTACGAGATCGACTTCTTCCCCTCATCATTGGATTGCTTAGAACTGTGAGTCACTGCCCTGCGAAGATTTTAAAGTTTTTCTGATGTCGGAAATCAATGTGAGAGAGATGGTTTCTACGGTTCATATGCTTACTCATTAATGTGCACATTCCTGAATATGTACCTAGGTTTCTTTCACAATAGTTTGTGTCTCTGTGATATATTACTCTATTTATGTAACTGATACACACATATATGTATGCATGTTTCTTTTCTCTCTGTATGTTTCATTTGATACTTGTTGACAAATTCTTTTTCTTTTTCCCTGTGAATTGAATTTTTAGATGTCATGGATTAAGCTGGACAGTGTTGGAGCTGTCAATTTATGTTATACTCATCTCGCAAAAGAATGTTAGTGCCTGAGATATCACAATTTGTAGGGATATCTTTTGCGGTGGTTTATCTACCATGGTTTGCAACCTACGGGCCAATACTTGATGGTTTGATTTTGCTGCATCTTAAAGTTAAACTTGTATTTGATTCTGACATGCATACCATTTATTCTTATCTTCTCAGAAATAACCATTTTCCTTGGATAAGCATTGAGAACCTAACACTTAATCGTGCTATCGACTTACAGATTCTATATGCATATTGTTTGTTTATTGGATTTCAAACTTCACTATTATAAGAACTGGACCCATTTCCATATTGCCTCAGCTTTGCCTCTTTTCTATAAGGGCTGAGTGATTTATTTCTTATTCCTCATGTTTTCTTGGTGTGATTGCTTTCTTGTGGCGTTCGAGGGTTTAATCTGGACTGGATGAAAGAAAAAAAGGGGAACCTTGGTGGGGGAGGAGTAATGGGAAGACAAAGGAAGAAACTATTCAGATGTTTGGATCTATAAAAGGGGAAGGAAAGGGAAGAAACTGAGTTATCCACTGTAAGTTATGATCAGAAAAAGCATGAACTGAATTTGGGTCTTGGAGTAGTGTTTAAGGTGTATGAAGCCTCAGCATGTGGCCTTGTCGTAGAAAATATCAGCTTGCTCACCAAAGGGAGAAACAAGAGACATGAAAAGCAGAGCAAGAAGCCTGTTGGGAGAGTCAAGAAATAAGTGTAATGTTTAGGGTTCTTTGTATGTTAAGATTACTTCGTGCTTTTTGGGATTTATCCCCTGCCTGCCATCATAGAAGGAGATATCTTCAGATATTTCAGTTTGTAGTGTTAATCATAATATCTGGGGTTTTGTTGCTGCACAGACATTGATTGGCTTGACTGGCTGTTTATAAATGATTGAGATATTGGTGCACAGTGTGAGTTATCTCTTTCTTTATGTTTTCTGCTTATAAGTTCTTTGTTTTTGTTTATTCCTCAGGCCAAACTTCCATCTGTACTGAGGGTTTACCGTGATACATTAATTTCCGACATGAAAACAGCCATTAAGACCACAGTTGCAGAGTTGCTTCCGCTTTTATATGGACGACCAGTGGAGTCTGATTTGTCTACTGGAGAGCGGCCTGCTGATTCAGATGGTATAATTGTGGATGATCATTATCATATGTTTACATTTTGCGTTGTGGTTCTTTTAGTTTTTTTTTCTCATTTTTTTGAGCGATCACTTTTTTTGATACCTTATTATCATGAACAGGTGGAGGTTTATCACTTGCAAGTAAATTGCGCAATCTATCTTCTGAGAGCTTTGTTCAACTTTTAGCTGCAATTTTCAAGATTGTACAGGTTAGGTACTAGATGCTTGTGCATTTGTTTGCTCAAACCTTTTATCTAGAAATAAGTATATGCAAATATACGCTTTTGTGTGTGTTCTCGAGTGCATGTACTTGCTACGCAGATGTTCCCTTGCTTTCAAAGTGCCTTACGTTCTGGAAACTGATTTCTGGAAACTGATGCTCTATTTTCACTCCGGCTCTGCAATTGAACTGTACTTCAAATTATCTCCTGTTGCTAACATGCTTATTGTACTAGTAGCATCTGAATTTTTGGAATAAACTCAGTTCAATATGAAGGAATTGAACATGCTAGGGTTCAGTTATTCTTCCGACTAAACACTGCAATATATGCCACTCTTAACTTTTATTCTGTGCACTTATTTTCTTTCCATGGTCTTGATTTTGGATCACCAGAAGGTTTTCTGGGGATTTTTTTGGTCATCCTTGATGTATTACCTTTGTCATCTCATTTCACAACAGTTGAATCCAAGGGTGCTTGCTGGCTTATGTTTTAAAATGTACCCAAGAAGTGTTGCAATAGACTGTTCATTCCTTTGGATCTTCATGTGCAGAACAAAAATTGATGTGCTCTTTCTTTTATTGATTATAGGCACATTTGGTGCGGGCGGCTGAAGTTAAGAAGGTTATTGAGTGGGTTATGGGAGGCCTTGATGGTAGCCCTGCTATGGATTCTGTTGCAGCTGTAGTTGCTCTTGGTGCTGCTGCAGCAGCTGCGGCAGAAGCTGCTCAAGAGAATGTTACTCAACTTAGTTCACCATCTTTGCTTCAAAAGAATGCCACCAAGGTTCAATTGCTTCTGGGAAAGGCAAATGACATTTCTAGTCCAGCAAATATATCAAAAAATTTCATGTGAGCCCCACAAACTCCTGAGACAGTTCATAACTATTGAAACTGAGCTGTTCATAACCCTAGTATCTATGATGAATGATTCCCATAACTTGTCATTAAATATAGTTCTGAATGGTTACCATAATTTGTCATTAAATGAAGTTCTTGCCAGGCATTGGAGGTTGCTTTATTTTGTCTTGTTTGTTTAGTTTATAGTATGGTCATATGTCTGAATACTGTCATCTGTATAATTGGGAGCTTTCATAGAGGTGGTGTTGGAGAAATTTGCTCATCTTTAGCCTTTTTGTGGACCACTTTATCTAGGCGATCATAAAAAGATGTAGAACATCTTTCTTAAATGTTTTTCACCCCTATGAAAGACATGAAAATTAATAAAAAAATTGGAAAACAAGTTAAGACCAAAATTTTAATGTCCTTGTTGAAGAACCAGCTCCGACAGATTTTTTTTCTTCTACATATGCATGACTTCTATACCCAGTAGGGATCAAGCTGTGAAGAGAATGAAGAAATAAGCTGCATCAAATGGAATAAAGCTGCACCAAATGGAATGGAAAATCGGATTGTAAGGGGGTGAAGAAATCAATTTTAAGGAGTCTAAGTTTTTCACATGGCATCACTTGAGTCCACTGGATGAAATTTATGAATTACTTGCATGTTTAGGAGTTTGAATGAAGAGCACTACTATTATGCTATAAATTACTTTTCTAATTGCCTCTCTTAGCTGGTACCTTGGAGCTTCATAAGCTCTTGGTTTTGATTGACGTCTTCTGAGTCATTTCTATGGGTTCTCTACTCTTGAGGTGTGGAGAAAGGACCTTTTGTTTGATACTTCGCGACACAAGGACTCTTCCCCTTTGAATTGCTAATGTCATAGAGGTTGGAAACCTCTGAGCATCTTCCTCTGATTACGGCTTAGTTATTTTATCATAATAGGAAGGATCTGGCGATGCAATCTGTGTGAACCGTGTGATTATACCAAGGCTTTTGATGAGCCCCCACTCAAAAGAAAAAATTCATAGTGATTTTTGTAAAAGCCATTTATTGTGTCAAGCCTTGATCCATGTTGTTCTTGATTCTAAAATAAGTTGTGGTTGCAATGGGTTTCTAGTGGATTTATTTGTGGAGTATGTGCTACATACCACCTGTACCTTATGATTTTTTATTTTGTAAGTCTTATGCTAATGCCAACTCAGATTCTTGTCCTTGAAATGCAGGTGGAAATACTCTGTTTGCATTAAGAAAATAAAGCAAAAATAAATGAAATGGTAAATCTAATTTTACAGTTTGTACTGCAAATTCCGTTGTTGCATCACTTGAGCACATTGGGTAACATTACAAGCTACTTGTGACAGAGCCAAGTCCAATTAAACCTGTCCCTTTACAAACGATGGGTATCGTATAAAAGCCTTATTTGTACTTAAGAATGATATACAAAAGAATCTATGCAACAATACCTTTACTTCTATAATGAGTACAAGGAATTGTAATAATTACTTTACAAGTTTTTTTTTTCCTAACAAAGAACTTTGCCACGCTTCTGTGAATCTGGGAGCTGAATGGGAAAATATGCTTCTGTGGGTGTGGCTTTTATTAGTGTGCAGTAGTGAACTCAATTCCTGTACTGAGTATTGCGCATAATTGTATTCTAAGCTTTAGAAATATTTTGGCACACTGTTTCTTTTTCTGAGACCATATATTGAAAAGCCTTTCCCCTCCCCACGCAACTTTCAATGGATAAGTTACGTTTCATCTAAATGCGAATCACATCCAACTCATTTCCTCCTGTTCTTGACTGGTTTACTTATTAGAAGATATTCAATCGATTTCTATGATGGTTCTGTAGACTTTTTTATTTTTTTGAAATGTATGATGGTTCTGTAGACTATATCTTTGTAAGCTGTTTATTGTTATGGTTTGCCAACTCATGTCTTTGTGGGCATCAGCTATAATTTCAACAGGTAAGTTTACTTAGTTGAGGGGCATTGTACAGTAATTTTTTTTTTTAATTTGAATTATAGACTTTACAGGTTATGGGCTTTTAACTGTCACTGGTGAAGGCAAGTGCCCAAAGGCTATGGAAACTATGTGCATGAATACTAATACTGTCAAAAATCATTTATAAGGGCGACTCTTTGAATGTTTTAAAATGAGGCAAACTGGAGAAGGCCGTGATCCTCTTCCTCTGCGAACATGATCTTCAAACCATCACCTAGGCTCTAGTGTTTTATCCAACTCTCTGCAAGTCATCACACCTTAAATAAATTATGTGAATTACATGAAGTAATGATCGTGCTGAAAAAAATTACTTGTAATAGCAATGATTCTTTGATTGCTTTTCTGTTACAACCAAGGAATCAAACGAGAGTCGACTGGATCCTCTCAACTCTTTGTGTCGGTTCTATTGTTCATCCAACTCTCCACAAGTCGTCGTAACTTATAGGATACAATTGACTTATTGCTGCCTATGGGATACACAACTTAGGAATCCGATTAATCCTCCCAACTCGACAATTTCATCATCTCTAAGGTCCCTTGTAATTTTGTTGGGAGTTGGAAGTTACATACTATTACATTCTAAAATAATGTAAAGGGGTATTCTGGTCTAATATTAACAAGAGGACATGAATAATTATGGTGTTTTATTGTTGTTTCCATTGCTTCCATAGATTTTGTTTGTCATGCCCAAAATCCCATCATCCCTTCCTGAGATTCTTGCCTTTGATTTTTTTTTTTTCGTTTGTTTTTCTTCTTCTTTCTTCTTTTTTTTTTTGTTTTTTGAGCGTTTATTCTTTCTTCTTTCTCCTTCTTTCTTTTTTTCTTGCTGCTTCTATGAAAATTTCCAGTTCTAAAATTGTGACATTCAATGCTTGAGCACTTTATTGCGTGTCTTAGAATAGGATGCATATAACTGTCTCTCTCTTCGGCTTTGACCAATATTTTTTCACCTCGTGTTTGATTTACATTATTTCTTTTCTTTTTTTGTTTGTATTGGGATAAATGGTTAACATTATTTCTATTGGTTACTTTGTTTTTGTATTGTTGGCTTCATAAAGTGAAGGAGTTAAACACCCTTAGTTTTTAAATGGTTGTTTGCAGTGCTGATGTTCTTCGGGAGAATGCTGAAGCAGTTTTTGCGGCTTGTGATGCTGCACATGGAAGATGGGCTAAGTTACTGGGTGTGCGTGCACTCCTACATCCTAAGTTACGGCTGCAAGATTTTCTTAGTGTTTATAATATCACTCAGGATTTTATCTCAGCAACAGAGAAGGTACTGTTTATTACTAGGAGAAGTGTGTGTGGACCTTTTATGATTTGTTTTCCTTTGTTGTGATGTAGCGATCAATTGTTCTTATGGCAGATTGGTGGAAGGTTGGGCTACAGCATTCGGGGTACTCTGCAGTCACAGTCCAAAGCTTTTGTTGATTTTCAGCATATCTCTCGAGTAAATTTTGTTTCTTAATATTAGTTCCCCATTCGTATTGTCTTCATAAATTGTTCTGGTATTCGTCAGCTTGATAATCATAATTCTTGGCTTTTCTGGTTTTTACTACATGGCTTTTTCCTTGCATTTCTTTTAGCTTCTGCTATTTTTTACGTGTCGTTTTCTTATGCAAGGTTTGGGATGGTTTGACCTTTCTAACATTGATTACAACTTTTTGTAGATCACAAAGATTACAGCAGTTCTTGATCAAGAAACTTGGGTTGCAATAGATATCCCTGATGAATTTCAAGCCATTGTTGACTTGTTTATTTGTTCTGAGGCTGTGATTGCTGAGGGTGAGGAGGGGTCCCTTCAATTGAATCCTGCACAGCAAACAAACACAATTGACGGGTCACGTGATGATTCTGCAAAAGCAGCTTATTCTCAATCACTTTCAAGGCAGAATTCAGTTGAGTCCTCTGTAGAGCATGTCAGACACGCTAATACCTCATCCCAGTCCGGGGGAAGTCAAGAAAATACAGTCGAATCTTCGCCACGGCCCATAACTGAAAATGACCATCACAGTTCCAAGGGACATGACAAATCTCCTTCACAAAAGCTTTTCCATAAAGGTGTTGGTTATCATATGGTAAACTGGTTAGTCATCTACATCTCGATGCTTCCTTGTTAGGTGCTTCAACAAGCTTAGTTTGAAAATGGAAGCCATGAAATATCCATGACTAGGCATTAGCTATTAATTTTTATGAACTGGATATTGATGATTCCATAGGGCACATTTGATAACTAGAACTTCTAGCTGCAGAAGTTTGAAGTTCTAATTTATTGTGGCACTTCCTTGTTAATTAGAACGTGTTATGGGAAATTGCTTTAGGAAGTTCTGGGTTTTCAATTAATGAGAACCTGCGGTTTCCAATCCTTCCCATGGATGCTCTCTTATCCCATTTTCTAGGAAGTTCATCTGTCGCGTTGTTTCGCTTTCCATGTCCTTTTTCTCTCTGTTAACTCCTCTCTAAATGTGCCCCTTCTTTCTTTAATGTCGCCCTTTTTCTCTCTAACTCCTCTCTCTCTAACAAGATCTTTCTCTCTCTAATTTCTGTCTAGATATGCCCTTTCTATCTCCAATTCCTCTCTTTAACCATGCCCTAACTCTCTCTAACCATGAGCTTTCTTGGTCTCGAAATATTTTCTTTCTCTAACCATGCCCATTTCCTCTCCAACTCTTTTCTCTCTCAAGCCCTTTCTCTCTCTAAATATTCTCTCTAACAATATCCTTACTCTAACTCCGATCTCTATCTAACTGTCATATCTTCCTCTCGCACTAATCGTGCCCTTTCTCTAACTCCATTCTCTTTCTTAATGTGCTGTGCCCTTTCTCCAATTCCTTTCTCCCTAAGTTTGTCCTCTCTCTCAAATGGTGTTCTTTCTGTTTCTAACTCCTTTGTCTATCTAAATGCATCATTTTTCTATAAAACTCTTTTCTCTCTCTCTCTCTCTATGTCTTCTCCCCTAACCATGTTTCTCTCTCTCTCTCTCTCTCTCTCTCTCTCTTCTATTTCTTTCTCTTTGTGAAGTAGTCATGAAGCCTAGTCTTTATGAAGCTTTGGTAAGTTGCTATGAAGCCTAATCTCTTATTCGATAACTTCCAGACAGGTTATCGAACAAGTATTTCAGAAATCTTGATTTAACAGTTTCGGCTTCTAGGGAACTAGAAATTTCAGGTTCCTTGGAATCCGCAGCTTTTCAGGTACTGAACGTGCCCCTACATTCCCACATTCATGACGGATTTGTGTCTTGTCAGACTTTGCTACTGAATACTATTCTCCCTCTACTTATAAAGGATCAATTTGTGCCTGCCGTATGTTTCTAAATTGTCAGTGTCGTCGAATTTCTTAAGTTTGACTTCTATTTACAGGCTAGTATGTTGAAATTCATAATAGTAACTCAAATCAGTGTTTTAAAAGTCGTCCTACTTTGGCGCCTAGGTGATGTCTTGAGACTGGCCAGGGTCATAGATGCCTCGTCTAGGGCTAGGGGCACTTGGGGGGTGGGGGCCTCTAGATGCCCTCCTAGGTGGCCACGTTGCCACGTACCTGGGCACCTAGCAGCTCAGTCAGGGTGGGTGGCTGGTGCCTTGGCCCGCCTTGGCCTCGGCATTTTGTTTGTTGTTGTTTTTGACTCCAAACACGTTATGAAGCATTTGGAGGGTGTCTCTTTTTCTCTCTTACGAGCACTTGGATGGCATCTCTCTCTCTCTCTCTCTGTCTCTATCTCTCCGATGTAAAGTTCCTTGTGCCCCATCTACTATCTTTCTAATCCATATCCAATGCACTTCATCAAAATGCTTGGTGGGTAGCTCCCATTTCCCTTCATCAAACACTTATGGGCGATCGTTCTCTCTCACATATAAATTACGGCATGTACCATCTCTCTCTCTCTCTCTCTATCTCTCTCTCTCTCTCTCTCTCTCTCTCTCCCCACACAGACATACACACATGTGGACACACCCCCTCCCCTTTTCCCCCTGTTGTCCTTGGGGCATCTTAATCATGGGGTGCTTGTCTAGCAGGCAATGCACTGCCTAGGCTTCCACATTCTTAAACATTGATTCAAATATTTGCTGCTATTTTATGGAGTATCTATTCTTTGAAACTTTATCTGTAAAATGGAAAGCCTTGTTGGATTTTTTTATTATGCTAGTCTGAATGCCTAATCTGTTTTTGGTATTCTTCCTGGGTATTATGTATTATCTCTAATTCGTTGCCTCAGAAAAGCCTTCATTTTCTCTGGTGCAGTGGTTTAATTTTGCTAAAGATGCTCTCAGAATACACTGATATCAGTAATAACTTGCCAGCATCATCATCTGAAGTTGTTCAGCGTGTTGTGGAGATTTTAAAACTTTTTAATTCACGGACTTGTCAACTTGTTCTTGGTGCTCGTGCTATACAGGTAAAAATTGGTTGGATGATTGTAGTATATCCTTCCATATTGAATATACACTCTCATTTGATATGGTGTTCTTAACATATACCTTGGCAAATGATGGAAATTGTTTTGAGCAAAACGTTTTTTTCGATATATTAGCAAGGTAAGGTGTAAGATAGGAAATCCCTTGGGGGTAGAGGTGGATAGACTGGAGCACACATTGAGAACAATCTACCCATAGTTACTAGATCTACATGCATATGTATTCTTATGTCTTATGGTTAATTATAATGGGCCATTGTAGCTTCTAAGCAATTCATTATAAGCAATGAATGTAAAATGCCCCTTGTACAACAATAACTATGCTGTCCATACATTTACAGTTTGTACCATCCCTAATCACACTTCAATTGGTATGAACACTGGGAAGGGAGAGTTTAATAACCATTGATGATATACTGCCATGGATTAACACTCAATAGAAGACAGATAGTCATGGGGTTACTGAAGAAGTCTGCTGTATTGTCACAATGAAATGCAAACACCAGTTATAATTGATTTTAAGTTAGGAAATGATCTAATATTACTTTTGTGCAATAAAATGACAGGGAGAAATGAATGGAGTACGCATGATTGATCTAATATTTTTTTTGGCAAGAGTATGTTGCTTCTTACATCTATTAGAAATCAATGATGTTCTGAGAATATATATTGTGTGCATCAATTTTGAAATGTTGCACGCAGTGTTTAAAAAATTGGTGAGCCGATCCAGAATTGGGCGATCCGGATCGAGAATCGCCCAGACCGTCCCGGATCCACTAATAAAACGAAATCTGGCAACTCTACGCATCTAAATCGGCGGGATGATGTCATAATTCGGATTTCTCAACAGTAAATCGTTGCGATGACTTCATTAATCGGACACCTCACCGATTCCCATCTGAAGTCGAAGATGGGACACGTTATCCACCCACCCCCTTTTGCAACACATCACCACCTCACTGATTCCCATCTACAATTGGACACGTCATCCACCCACCCTTTTGTAACATGTCATCACATTCTTTTATTGCAAAAGTTAAATTAGGCTGGCCCCTCAACTCCACACACGCCATGTGTCCTGTTCTACAATGAGCAATTACGTTTATGGCTCCAAAACTTTTATAGAACACTAGTGTCCTCAGAATTTTCGAAGGAACCATGAGTCCCGTGCAAAGTCTTGGCATATGCCATTTATCACAAAAAGACTTGGTATAAAACAAATAATGGATTTGTTTTGAGTGGCCACCCAAAATGTATATGCTAGAAATTGTTTAACAAATATTTCTTAAAAAATGTCCTAGCAATTTTAAATATTTTTAAAATTAATTATGTTTATTATAAACACAATACTAGCAATTCAAAATGTATATGCAAGAGCCATTTTTTGAATCAAGCTTGTTATAATATTATAATTAATAATTATATTAATTACATTGATAATAAATCTTATATATAATTTATTAATATATTTATATTATTAATTATATAATGTATTATTTTTGATATAGTTGTAAATATGATTTTTTAAATTAGATGATATTATAAGAGAAAATTCAAATTTATTCTTATTTGTATAGTAACATGACTATAAAATATAAACCAATAATTTCAATTTCAGTTAGTTAGTGATAATTTTTGACTAGTAAAGAGAATTAATTAATGTTTGATGTGATACTAATTTCACTTTATGTGAAAAATTAATTTTTTTAATCTCATAATATGGAAGTGTTTTCTAATATTTTTAAATTAGTTTGATGCAATATTATAATACTATATCATAAGTAATAATTATACAGACATCTTGAACAGGCAAACAACGTCTCAGTATTGACCTATTTTTACAAAGTAATGAAAATACCTAATGCATCACTCCTAATTTCTTTTAGAAACTAAAAGAACATTATTTTTAGAGATCTATAGTGATTTTTTGAAAAATGTTTGGGACAAAAATTGCTGATTTGGCCGATTCTCCGAACCGATCCACCGATCCGATGCGGGTATGGGTGTGATCGATTCGGGTCACCGATCTGCTTTTTTAAACACTGGTTGCACGTATTTAGATTGCTAACCCATTTAAAACTAGAATAGGGTATAAGATTGAAGTGATGAAGATATAAAGTAGGGAGAGTTTGCTAACTAAGTATTATTGGAAATAATGAGCACAACTTTAGTGAATGAAACATGTGAGGAGTTGTTGTGAAGTATTACAACCCTTCTCAACAACTTTTCTAATGATTTGGTTGTCAATATGATTGTGCTTTCTCTGTATATAAAAGATCTGATTCAAAGCCACCGGAATAATACTCGTCTTGTTTCGGTGGAAAGGAGTTGGAGTAGATAGATTCACACTTGGGTTGCATTGGACGGTTTGAAGCTGAAACGGGCCTTTGTAAAGTATAGAGTACAGGCATTGCTCTATATTTAGAAATCCGATATCTGTTTGACTCTTGGGTTCCTTACATGAATTACCGAGTCAAAGTTTAGAGTAGGTCAGAGATGGGTTTTAGTGGACTTTGATAAATTGCCCAAAAGCTCTGTGATTAGGTTTTACTGTGACATGTTCCTCATTTATTTGGATCTCACTCCCGTGGGATTTCCTCATAATATAATTTTATGGACTCCATTGATAGTGCTGAAATTTTGTATTTAAATATGCAATAACATAGAAATTTGGCCAAGAAACCATGCAACCATCTTAGATTTGGTTCAATTCTGGATAAGGATGAAGTTTGTTAGGCTCTGAAACCATTATAGTAATTTGGATTTTTTGACTAGATTGGTCTGGGTTTTATTGGAATTCCCTGTTGTATTGCAATAATGAAATACGGTCATGCTGCATAACCTATATGATTTCACATGGTGGAAGAAGAGAAATAGAGAGGGAAAAAGGACGCAAAACACAGCCTTCCAATTATATCACCTTTGAGATTAAGTTAAAACTACATGGAAACCTTTGAAAATTGACACCTAAAAGGCAACTGTTGAAATCTGTGATGAGTGAGTCTCACTTCATCATTTAATAGCCTTCTTATTGGATCTTGAGGCGAGTCCTAGGCTCTGATAACTATGTTAATTTATCAATTGGAGAGAGAAAACTGATTGCACTTTGCAATGAGATGATCCAGTGTGGCTTATATGCAACTCTATAACGAGGAGACTAAAATATTTGACGAAAGAGTTCCTTTCTCTATATGATGATAACTGTATTCATTAATGCACATTATTAGAAATTGAGGTCACTGGTGGTATTGATTTGGTGATTTCTATATGTTATAGCTACAGCTACCCTTTATCTTATAACTACAGCTAAGTTAATCATTCAGTTACGTACTTCAGTTATGTACTTCTGGATTATCCATTTAAATTTTGTTTTTTCTCATAAATATAAATCAATGGATCGAGATAATATTTTTGTATCTGTTAAATGGTGGACTCAAATCATTTTGTTGATATGCTCATAGAAGCATCCATAATCTAAAGGTTAACTATCAGGATCTTTCATTGTACTTGTTCCGATATGAAATCTAATTTATTTATATTGACTTTGATGTTATCTGTTAATAATCTTGGTTCTAATCACACCATAGAAGCTGGTTGTGTTATATGATTAGCATGCAGTTTTGGCTTGGAATTGTCTTTCTTTATTTTTCGTTGGAAATTTTTTATTTTACTTTTGGAATTCACCATTTGAGTCTTGGTCTCTATTTCTTTTCTTATATGTTGCATGTAGGTAACTGGTTTGAAATCAATAACGGCTAAGCACTTAGCTTTGGCAAGCCAGGTGGTTAGCTTCTTCTACGCTATAATACCAGGTATGTCACCTACCTTTACAAGAAGACTAAGTCTTTTAGGGCTCCTAATTTCGTATGACAGATGTATATTGTTGTGTACCTTATGTACAAAAGTCTCAATTTTGTCACATATATCTTGATGTTTATGAATTCATAATTATTGCGTGAAATTGATCGTGTTTCAGATAATTACATGTGATGTACATGTTGGGCAATCATATAATCAGTCTTTTGCATGGAAAACAAAGCTATGTTTGTGCGATATTTGTTGTTTTTGTTGTATTTATTCCTGAGGATTGTTGTTTGCTGAAGTGATGAATTTTCATGAAAGAGTGCAAAAGCTTTTCAACATATTTCAGACATCAAAATCATCTCCTTATTTCAGAATGCTTCCAGGGCCGGTTCTGCTTCTGTATATGATATCTCTCATCCTGCTCTCTTACCTCCAACTTTAATTGCATCTGGTCCCTTTGCACTAATGACTTTCGCAATTTTGCTGTAGTTTCATTATCCATATGTACATAAACTACAAAGAATCTGCACTCTTTCTAAAATGTATCACCATATGTCGGATTTCTTCATCATCATTATCATTTCCGAACTATTTGGGGTTGGGCTGGGTTTAACAAACTGCATTTTAAATGATTTGCGTGTTTGGGTTTGTTTGGCTTCCAGAGTGAGAAGAGATAGAAACTGAATCAAGATCTCGCAATGATTGCGTTGCTATTTTAGAGAGCGAGAGATTGCTGCACCAGCAGTCCCCATCACTCCCCCACTCCCACCTTCTACTCTCCAACACAAGCACCAACCTTACTTCTAACCTGCTTACACAACCTACTGGTCTCTGCTGTCAGACCCCACTCTATCTCTAGAACCAGAAACTCCTTATCCTTCTCACTCTATGCCTCTCTAAGCAACAGAACTGTTGGACTGAAACTCTAGGCGCAACTATAAGCTTTGACACCCAGTCATTATGTGATTTCACAACCTTCGCTTACAAAGCAAAGAATAGATTTGGCCTCCTCCAAGTCATAACTAGGGTTCTCAACATGCTAGCGCTCACAATCGAGAAAACCACTTTCGAATTCTGTGGTAATTTCTTTGTTAAGAAGTTCGCTATAACTAATTTACATGGTGAAAACGTTAGGAACCTGAAACGAATTACAAAGGCTCTTTTGGATGCCATGAATGAGAAGGGGCCATCCAGTCATCGCGTGATTTCACTACCTTCACTGACAAAGCAAAGAATAAATTTGGCCTCCTCCAAGTCATAACTAGGGTTCTCAAAGTCCTAGCTCGCACAATCAAGAATACGACTTTCGAATTAATTTTTTTTGTTAAGAAGTTCTCTATAAGAAATTTACATGGCAAAAACATCAAGGAAGAGGAAAGCCTAAAAAGAATTACAAAGGCTCCTTTGGATGTTATGAATGAGAAGGGGCCACGCAGTCATCGCGTGATTTCACCACCTTCACTGACAAAGCAAAGAATAGATTTGGCCTCCTCCAAGTCATAACTAGGGTTCTCAAAATCCTAGTGCTTACAATTGAGAAAACAACTTTCAAATTTGGAGGTAATTTTTTTTTAAGAAGTTCTTTGTAACAAATTTACATGGCCAAAACATCAAGGAAGAGAAGAGCCTTAAAAGAATCACTAAGGCTCTTTTGGATGCCATGAATGAGAAGGGGCCAATCATAAAGGTCCCATCAGGGGAATTCAGCAAGGAGGGCTCCACCATCAGGGGTAAGAAGGGCTGAGGTCATGTTCAAGTTGATTGATAGATACCTTAGAAACAATCCAGTTTATCTTCAAAAGACCATTTTGGATTATGTTGAATTCACGGTGGTGATATTGCCCCATTGCGTCGTAGTACGACAAATGCTGTATTTTGCTATTATGAGTTGTCCAACAGAATTCTGTTTGCTACTGAAGTACTACTTAAAGATTATATTGAATTCACGATGGTGATATCTTGGTTCTGTTGCTGCAATGTTGCATGGTGAGAGAAAGGAGAGAAAAAATGTGGAGCAAGAGAGAGCTGGGGAGGGAGGAAGACAGAGAGAGCTGGGGTGGGTGGTTTTCTGTTAGTTTGTTCAATGGAGCTCTAAGCCACTAATGAGTGGTTTGTTTTTTGGTTACACACATACACACACACACACGCACGCACGCACGCACAGAGAGAGAGAGAGAGAGAGAGAGAGAGAGAGAGAGAGAGAGAGAGAGAGAGAGAGAGAGAGAGAGAGAGAGAGAGAGAGAGAG